GTGAGGCACCCCACTTGTGAGCCCTCCAAACCCGCCGTCTGCGTCTCATGTGGCTCCTGCCTGGACATCCGCTGGCAACCTAGCTTCAGGGTCCACCTGACCCTGACTGAGAAATGAGTCACCCCCCCGCCCGTGACCCCAGGGACGCCGGGGGAGACCCCAGCGTTTCCAGCTCCCATCTGCTGAGGAAGAGAGTGGGCGACCGCAGAACGTGTGGTAAATACAGGGTGGTTCAAAGCACGAGAGGAAAGACAGGAAGATGCTCACGGGCCCCGCCCCGGACGCCGGGCCGTCCTTCCAGCCGTTCTTCCCGAGTCCCGCTCTCCTGAAGCTGAAACGGTGCCGTAGGGGGCGCAGGCATTTCTTCTGCTTCTCCCTCTTCCTCGACGTTGGTGGGGCCCTCCCCCCAGTGTTGATGAAACACCCCTGTCAGCTGCAGGCTTAACGGTCGTACAGTTTGGTACGACAGCCACAGCTGGGCCGTGACTCGGCCATTGTGCACGTGGCGTCGGGCCGTCTCCGTTTTGCCATCGTGAGAAAATGCCACGATGATCTTTTCCTCATCGCCCCTTTGCACGTTTGCCAACGCGAGGCTGACATAAACCGGAGGGTGACGGTGACGGTGACGGCGACGGCGACGGCCGTCCCCCAGCCTTGCTTCCAACCGTGTTTCGGTCATATTGCGGGTTATCCGTTCCGTCTGCTGTGCATAAGGGTGTTGTCATTTAGACGACACTACTTCCCAGAGCATCTACGCCATACCCACGGGCAGGCTTCCCGGTCCCCCCACAAGGCAACTCCTGCACTGTCCGGTCTTTTGAGCCTCACCCTCAGGGCCGTGGCCTCACTGGCGCCCTGGGGCCCCTGGCTGAGGAGGCAGGAGCGGCCCAGCGTGCTGTGGGGTGGCCTCTGGGGCTGCCTGGCTCCCTGTGAAACACGGTGCTGCCCCTTCGGAGCTGTGTCACCTTGGGAGGGACGCTCAGCGTCTCTGGCCTGTTTCCTGCAAGCATGGTGAGGTGCTGCCTCCCACACGGCGGGAGCCGGCCACACGACCCCGCGTCTGGGAAGCTGCCACCTCCTGGCGGTGTTACTTCGGGCAAGTGGCTGACCCCTCTCTGAACCCAAGTTTTCTCGCCCGTGAGTCCTTGGAGAGTGACCACAAGGCTGGCCGTGTAAATCACCGGGAACAGGATAAAGCGCTGCCTCTCCCTTCGTCCAGGATGTGCGCGTAAACCAGCTCTCCAGAGGCCAGAATTCTGTTTCTCCTTTCTGTAATTATTAAGATACCAAAAAAACTAAAATTTTCAGGATGTGCGCGTAAACCAGCACTCCAGAGGCCAGAATTCTGTTTCTCCTTTCTGTAATTATTAAGATACCAAAAAAACTAAAATTTTCCGCGTGCTGCCCCCACCCCTTGTGATCAGTGTTTTGGGGCACGCACAATGCTCAGCTCACGGTCGGAGGCCCTCGCCTCGTCGGGGCATCCTGCAGGGCCCCCACCAGCGCCCCGTTCCCTCTCCAGGCCCTACCAAGGGAACCCGACCTTCGACCCCGAGTTCGTCCGCTCCAAGTCCGCGGCTGCCGCGGGCCTGTGCTCCTGGTGCATCAACATCGTCCGCTTCTACGAGGTGTACTGCGACGTGGCCCCCAAGAGGCAGGCCCTGGAGGAGGCCAATGCCGAGCTGGCAGAGGCGCAGGAGAAGCTGTCCCGGATCAAAAACAAGATCGCCGTAAGCGCCAGCAGCACGCCTGTGGCTGCCGTGGCCCGCTCAGTGGCACGGGGCGGGGGCGGAGGAGGCCGACGCCACCAACAGGGTGATCTCGCTGGCCAACAGGTAGCTCGCCCCGCCGCTCGGCCTTCCAGACCCCCGGAATGGACGGGCCCACAGCGGGCCTCTGGGGGGAGGGACGAGCCAGCGGAGGCCGCGACGTCCCAGCCTTCACTTGCCGAGCACGAAGTCTCGAGGCTAAACAGAGCGGCTATTCGCTGGCCCGCGACCCCACCTCCGGGAGCGGTGGCACTTCCAGGTGGACCCTGAGTGCTCAGTGGTCTTCAAGGAACGTGACTTCTCGCAGTGCAGAATCCCAATCCGGACCTGCCCGGGCGCTGGGTCCACGACGGCTCATCCCGGGCAGAGTTCTTTTGGAACCCACTGTCACCCGTACCGTGGCGTCACTGTCACCCGTACTGTGGTGTCACCGTCACCTGTACCGTGGCGTCACCGTCACTCGTACCGTGGCGTCACCGTCACCCGTACCGTGGCGTCACCGTCACCCGTACCGTGGCGTCACCGTCACCCGTACCGTGGAGTCACCGTCACCCGTACCGTGGCGTCACCGTCACCCGTACTGTGGCGTGACCGTCACCCGTACCGTGGCGTCACCGTCACCCATACTGTGGAGTCACTGTGGCCTGTACCGTGGTGTCACCGTCACCCATACTGTGGCGTCACTGTGGCCTGTACCGTGGTGTCACCGTCACCCATACCGTGGCGTCACCGTCACCCATACTGTGGCGTCACTGTGGCCTGTACCGTGGTGTCACTGTCACCCGTACTGTGGCCTCACCATCACCCGTACTGTGACGTCACCGTCACCCGTACCGTGGCGTCACCGTCACCCGTACTGTGGTGTCACCGTCACCCGTACCGTGGCGTCACCGTCACCCGTACTGTGGAGTCACTGTCACCCGTACTGTGACGTCACTGTCACCCGTACTGTGGCGCTGGGTGCAGGCTTCCAGGGCCACCTCACGTTTGCAGCGCGTGATGACGTCGGCTCCAGAGTACACTGTCCTGTGAGCCACACTGTCACCTAATGTTGCCCAGTTGCCACCCTAAAACTGTACAGAGAAGCAGATGAAATCAATTTCAGTAACATACTAGGCCCCAAATCTGATACTTCAGCCCACGATCCGTGTGAACGATCAGTGAGACGTGTCACGTGCTCGTTCCCGCTCCGAGCCCGAGATCCCACACGTGTTTACGGCACGTCTCAGTTCCGGCCAGCACGTCTGGGCGCTCTCCGGGCGGTGGCCATGAGAAGCGGGGGCGCCCCGGTCCCCTCCGTCCAGTGAGCTCGTGACCCCGCGCCCGTTGCAGGCTGGTAGGGGGTTTAGCGTCGGAAAACGTCCGCTGGGCCGAGTCGGTGGAGAACTTCAGGAGCCAGGGTGTCACGCTGTGCGGGGACGTGCTGCTGATCTCCGCCTTCGTCTCCTACGTGGGCTACTTCACCAAGAAGTACCGCAACGAGCTCATGGAGAGGTTCTGGATCCCGTACGTAAACAAGCTGAAGGTGAGCGGCCCTTGCTCGGGAAGCCAGCAGAAGTCCCCTGGGGCAGACTCCCAGGCCGAGGCTTCGGCCATGCAGGGCGGGGACTGCGGCCGGGGTCGCCAACGCCAACACCTTTTCCGGCCGGCCCCAGGCGGCTCCGTCAGGGCGGTGTGGACGGACAGCTGTCTTGTCGCACGCACGGGGCCTGGCTCGCCACCACCTGCTGCAGAGCCACCGCCACTGGGAGGGTCGCTTTCCCGTGAAGCTGTCGGGCCACACTGTCCCTTCTGAGAGAAGACATTCCCTCGGGGCAGGTCCCCATCCCCATCACGGAGGGTCTGGACCCCTTGAGCCTGCTGACCGACGACGCAGACGTGGCCACTTGGAACAACCAGGGGCTCCCCAGCGACCGCATGTCCACCGAGAATGCCACCATCCTGTGCAACACGGAGCGCTGGCCACTCATCGTGGACGCCCAACTGCAAGGAATCAAGTGGATCAAAAACAAATACGGGAGCGAACTGAAGGCCATCCGCCTGGGACAGAAGAGGTGCTCGGTGGCCGCCACCCCGCGGGCAGGGAGCGGGGGCGGGCCGTCCGGTCAGCTGCTGGCTGTGCCAGGAAATACACCATCAGCGGTTCGTCCCTGCTCGACAGTGGACGGATCTTTCAGTATAAATACTGGCCCCGGGTGGGTTTTCTTTTTAATATCTGGCCCTGGGGACAGTGCCAAGAAGAGTAAAGAATGAGTCTGAGGGCTGCCCCTGCACCCCCGCTGCCCACAGGGAGGGAGCGCCGACCGAGGCCCCGGCCTGGGTTGAGTCCAGCCTGGCCTTCTGCCGGCCAAGAGGCTGCGGGCCAGTCACTTTCCCATCCCTCGTCCCTCGTGGGGCTTATTTCCTTGTCACACATGGAGAACAGCGGCCCGTAGCAAAGGCCACCCTGTGTGTGCCCCGTGTGCGGGGAAGGCCGGATGGGACGCGGGCGTGAACACGGATGGGACGCGGGTGTGAACACGGGTGGGACGCGGGCGTGAACAGGGATGGCCTACATAAGCCTTTCTCTTTATGAATAGATCTCTTAACACTAAGACAACTTTGTCAAAACACAAAACAAAACAAACCAAATGGCCTCCGCAGCCATGGTGGCTCCGTTTTCACCCCCACCCCTGTGACCCCAGAGGGGTGATTTACACAGACGCCTCGAGCCCCGCTCGGGGGTGGGAGGGGATGGGTCTCAGAGGGGCACGAGTCTCTGGCCCCTGGGTCACCTCTGCCCCCGAGGGCTGCCCCCAGGGGACGCAGGAAGCCGCCATCACTAGGCCCTCCGTCATTCACTGTCTCCTGCACCGTGCCCACAGCTACCTGGACATCATCGAGCAGGCCATTTCAGAAGGGGACATCTTGCTCATCGAGAACATTGGCGAGACGGTGGACCCTGTGCTGGACCCCCTGCTGGGCAGGAACACGATCAAGAAGGGGAAGTGAGTGGCCACGTCACCTCCGTGGTCTAAGCCACGTGAGCCCTCTCAGAGGCCGGGGCCGGCCCGCGTGTGCAGGAGCGTGCAGGGCACGGCCTCTGCCTCCCAGTAGGCAGCAAGGGCTTCGATGCGGTGCTGCCGGGTGTGAGGGGACCCCCAGCTCCCCGAGAGGAGGCGCAGCTATGAGGCCACCTCCCCGCTGCAAGTAGCTGCGTCGTTTTATCAGGAATGACCTCCAGACGGTGGGCCTTAATGGTCACGTTTTTATTTCTGTGCATTTTGCAAATTTCGAACCGATGCTTCTTTTTAATTCAGGTGAAATTCAAACAACATAAAAGTAGCTATTTTTAGTGATAGTTCAGTGGCATTTAGAGCGTTCACAGTGTTGTCAGCCACCACCTCTGTCCAGTTCCAAAAGGGACTGGACGGAAACCCTGTGCCTTTGAGTGGTCACCTCCCTCCCGCCCCTGCCGACCACCGACCCGCACTCAACTCCATGGACGTGCTGGACGCATGTCATCGAGGGACTCACGATGTGAGCCTCTCTGTGACTGGCTCCTTTCCCTCGGCGTAATGTCCTGGGGTCCCCCTCGGGGCCGGCACTCAGTCCTGTCCATGGCTGAGTGACAGTCCTTTACGCGGATAGATCGTGGTTTGCTGCGTTGAGCTTGGAGTTACCTTTCTAATATAAAAAATTAAGTCGATGTAAACAGTGCGAGGTCAGAGTTGATATGAGCCACCTCGAAATGCAGGGGTGCAAGCAGAAGCCCAGAAGAGAGGTAGCAAGTAAACCCCCGGAGAGCTACACTCTGAGAAGGGCCTGGCAGGGGTGGCGATGCCCAAGGGGTGAAGTTAGAGGCCCCCAAAGTGTGCTTGACCAGAAAGAGGGGACAGCAGAGCAGGGGTCAACCGACCTGGCTCCCCCTGGCCCTGGGAGCTTCCGGAATGTGCAGGAAACACCACAGTGACGACCAGGACAAACCAGCCAGAGACAGAGCAGGCACACCTTGTAGAAGGGCCGGTCCCAGGCCAGGGAGGGGCGCTGGACAAGGGAAGTCACAGTCCCTTCCCAGTGACCAGGGGAGGGTTCGAGGCGGCGGCTTGGGCGGGGACGGCCACCAGGCTGCTGTGGAAGGTGGTCTGTGTTTGTGTTGCTGTCACTGTTGCCGGGGAGCCCCCCCTAACCCCTTGCCCCACTGATGGCCAGGTACATCAAGATCGGCGACAAGGAGGTGGAGTACCACCCCAAATTCCGTCTGATCATGCACACCAAGTACTTCAACCCCCACTACAAGCCCGAGATGCAGGCCCAGTGCTCCCTGATCAACTTCCTGGTCACCAGGGACGGCCTCGAGGACCAGCTCTTGGCCGCCGTGGTGGCTAAAGAGCGCCCAGATCTAGAGCAGCTGAAGGTACCGAGGTCCGACGTCGGTCATGGGTGGCGTGGGGCGGGCCGAGGCAGGGACGGAAGCGGGGAGGGTCACCGTGGGGTTTCTTGGCGCTCGGCTTCTCTGAAGGCGCCCCGGCTTCTCGCACTGAACTGTACCTGCTCCCCAGTCGCCCCCAAAATGTAATTCTAAGTCAGAGAACAGCTTCGCAGCGAGACCAGGAGCCACAGCAGTGCCCACGGGCCCTAGAGCGCCGGCCCCTGCGGGCACGTCCTCACAGTGGGCTTGAGGGTCCCGGGCCCCCATGCTGCCCCTCGCCACTCAGTGGCCAGCGACAGGCAGCTTTAGAGGCCAGGGCAGGGCCACTGCCCTGCTTGCTTCCAGCCCTCCTGTGGGCCGGGCCTGGGCCAAGCAGTGGGGAGGCCCCGGCACGGGGTGGTGGCAGGGCCGTGCCCACGCCTGGCTTCCCCTCCCGTCCCTGCTCCCCCGCCGCAGGCAAACCTCACCAAGTCTCAGAATGAATTCAAGATCGTCCTCAAGGAGCTGGAGGACTCTCTGCTGGCCCGGCTGTCGGCCGCCTCGGGGAACTTCCTGGGAGACACTGCCCTGGTGGAGAACCTGGAGACCACCAAGCACACGGCCAGCGAGATCGAGGAGAAGGTGACCTCGCCGCCCCCGAGGAGGGGCACGGGTGACCGCAGCACCCCGGCTACCTGCCGAGAGCCCCCGGGACAGCTCCGAGGGGTGCCGTCCGCCTGCTGGTGTCACCCACGCCCCTTGCGTTTGCTTCAAGGTGCAAGAGGCGAAAGTCACAGAGGTCAAGATCAACGAGGCACGAGAGAACTACCGGCCCGCGGCGGAGAGGGCCTCCCTGCTCTACTTCATCCTCAACGACCTCAACAAGATCAACCCCATCTACCAGTTCTCCCTCAAGGTGGGGCCCGCCCGCCCGCACCCCGGGTGGCGGTGGGGGCAGGGCTGCAGGGTGGGGGAGGGAGGGGGTGACCGTGGGATGGCCTCGCGTCCGGCTCCGCAAGCCCCCTCGTGCTCACGGCCCCCAGGCCTTCCACGTGGTCTTCGAGAAAGCCATCCTGAAGACCAGCCCCGCGGACGAGGTCAAGCAGCGGGTCATCAACCTGACGGACGAGATCACCTACTCCGTCTACATGTACACGGCCCGCGGCCTCTTCGAGCGGGACAAGCTCATCTTCCTGGCGCAGGTGGCGTTCCAGGTAACGCCCGGGCTCACGTCGGCGCCCTGGGGGCGGTCGGCATGGGGGCGGCCGCCCGTGGACACGGTTCCCCTTGGGGTGACGAGGAAGGTCCAGGTCTGGACACAACACGGTGACCGTACTAAGTGCCACTGGACCTTATGCTTGAAGAGGGTAAAAATGGCCAATTTTATGTGATGTGTATTTGACCACGATTAACAATAAGACCAAGGTGACAGATGACAACGGTCTGCCCCAGCCCAAAGCGGCGGGGGCTGTGAGCGCCCACCGTGGCCCGCTGCCCGGTGACGCTGCCTGGTGACGCCGCCCGTGCCCGCAGGTCCTGTCCATGAAGAAGGAGCTGAACCCCGCGGAGCTGGACTTCCTCCTGCGCTTCCCCTTCAAGGCCGGCGTCCTGTCGCCCGTGGACTTCCTGCAGCACCAGGGCTGGGGCGGCATCAAGGTCAGAGCCCGGCCACTCCCAACAGGGACGGCCGCGGGCGCCAGCGGCCGTGACGCTGGGAGACACCAGGAGGCCCCGGGGTGGGCCCGGAGCGCTGGGCCGCCTGCCGGTTCACGGGGACTCTGCTTTCCTGCCCGAATACCGTGGCCCTTCTGTCCCCACGCACGTCCCTGCACACCCGAGCAGAGTCACCACGGGCCCAGGGACAGTGCGAAGGGTCAAGGTCATCCCTGGGCACACTCAGGGACCCTCAATGTCACGGCTCAAAGGCCCTGAGGAAGGCAGTCCCTGGGGTGAGGCTGGCCCGTCCCAGAACCTCTGGCGAGGTGGCCGGGAGCCCTGTCCCTAGATCCGAGGCCCGCCGCCCCCCCAGGTCCCCTCTGTTTGCCCGGGGCTCCTCCTGAGGAACACACGGAAAGAGCCAGGAGGGGTTGTCCGCCCCAGGCTCTCTCGGAGATGGACGAGTTCAAAAACCTGGACAACGACATCGAAGGGTCCGCTAAGCGGTGGAAAAAGCTCGTGGAGTCGGAAGCCCCAGAGAAGGAAATCTTCCCCAAGGAGTGGAAGAACAAGACGGCCCTGCAGAAGCTGTGCATGGTGCGCTGCATGCGGCCGGACCGCATGACCTACGCCGTCAAGTGAGCGTCCCGCCCGCCGCCCAGCTCTGCAGGGACTCAGCTCCTCCCCGCTCCATGGGGAGAGGGGCCCCCGGGAGTCGGAGGGGGCCGTCCGAGTTCTCCCGAGCGCCCGGGGTCTGCCGGGGTGATATGATGGGACGACACCCCCCGCCACGGGAGCCCCCAGGATCAAAGGAGTGTGGGCGCTAACGAGCACGGGGCCACAGAGCCCCATACGGGAGCTGGGGGAGAAAGCGGAGGCAAAGCCCCGGCGTTGGAGGGCTCCCGTCCCTCGGCCACAGCTCAAGTACATCTCTCCTTCCGGGCAGTGCTGGCTCATGTGCAGAGAACTGTCCTAATCCCGCGAACCATTTCTCTGGGCCTGCAGCCCCTCCACGATGGGGAAGTCCATCGTCATCGCCACCCCCGCACCCCCTCCCGGCATTCCGTGGAGGGCCTCCGGGAACGGAGAGGATCTGGCTCCTTCACCGCCCACCCACCCAGGGGGACCAGGGCCTGTTCTCCCAGGGGACGTGGGTCACGTGCAGCATCTTTTGCTTTTCGTGGGTCCAGAGTAGCGGCAGCACAGAGGCCTGACTCACAGCCAGTGGTGATTCGCTGACGGCTCTTAGAGGAAAGGGAGCGGAGGGGTTACAGCCCAGGGAAGAGGGGGTGGAGCGAAACAAGAAACCAGTCCTGCCTCGGCCCCTCGCTGAGCCAGGGCTGGTGGGAGGTTGGGCAGAGCTGAGAAAGGCCAAGGCCAAGGCCGAGGGCTCTGACCCTCACCTGCCTGGGGAGGGGAGCGCGTCTGGTGTCCAGGATTCTTAATTCGGATTTGAGAAGCCCCTGAGTCCACACACAGGAAGGTGCTTCAGTGACCGGAAGGGAGCAGCGGTGCCCGGGGTGGTGGCATGGGCCACCCCAGCGCCGGGCGCACCCAGCCCAGCTCCAACGTTTCTGTGAGGTTGAGGAAAGCGGCTGTGCCTCCCTAATCATGTAAGGGGTGTGCAGCCTGCCAGCGAGGGGGTCCACGTCCACAGGATCGACGGATGGCAGCACTCACTGGTCAAGGGTGGAGGGGGTGCCAAAGGCCTGGCGTGCCCCTTGCCGTGCTCACGCCCCCCAGCAGCCCCTGAGGCGGCCCCGGGTTCACAAGCCCAGGGCAGGGAGCAGCTCTCAAAAAACAGAGCCCTGGTTTGCAGGGCTGGCCACTCCCTGTGGTGTCAGCCCTGTCCTGGCTGATGGCAGGCTGCCCCCGTGGGGTAGAAGGTGGGGTGGGGTTCCTGTGAGCTGCAGGGAGCAGGAAGTCCCCAGTCCCAAGGTGGGGAGGCCCGCCTGGCACCAGCCCACAGGTTCCCCGCTGAACCAGGGGAAGGAGTGGAAGGCTGAGTGCGGGTGGCCCCTCAACAAGCAGGTCCACTGAAGGGCCTCCGGGGTGCTCAGGGAGCTCAAGGAGCCCCCTGCTGGGTGACGAGCAGGCCCTTCCTGGGGACACTGCCACCGTGATGCTTTCAAAGACTGGGCTGGACATTAAAATCTTGCTAATTTTACCTCCTGTGATTCATTCAGAAGACAGTAAGCCCTGCTGCCTGTGATCACGGGAGAGCACAGAGAGCTGAGCACCAAAGGCCGCCCCAAGCGGGGCCAGATTTCCCACAGGAGGGGCCTCGATGGGCCCCGGCGCTTCTGGGGTAGATGGGAAGAGTTTGGGGCTTGGAATGGACAGGTGTTTACGTAAAGGGAGCTGCTGCCTTCACGTCAAGTCCGTTTTGTGCGCGTCATTCACGGGCCGCCTGGCACTGAGGCATGGTCACCGGCTCAGAGGCGTGGTCCCCTGGCACGCCCAGAGTTGCAGCCAGCCAGCTGCAGCCCGCACTCCCTCGTGGCTGGCCGTGACCCTGACCCTGACCTCCCTCTGGGCTGACCCTGCCGTCAGTCAGGCAGCATCCGCGGCCCGGGGCCTCTCACCCGTGTGTGCGTGTGTGCGCGGGCCTCTCTGAGGAGGAGCGCATTGCGGGGTCGGCGGGAGGAAGGGTGCCTGGAGCCCCGCACCCCTCCCCCGCAGGAGGCACGCCCTGTGGGGGCTGTTTCCCGGCCAGAGGTGTCCCTCTGCTTAGGCGAGCCCCCTAGGAGGCGGCCCCTCGGCTCGCCCCGTCTGAGCAGGCTCTCCTGCAGGAACTTCGTGGAGGAGAAGATGGGCAGCAAGTTCGTGGAGGGCCGCAGCGTGGAGTTCTCCAAGTCCTACGAGGAGAGCAGCCCGTCCACACCCATCTTCTTCATCCTCTCCCCGGGGGTCGACCCCCTGAAGGATGTGGAAGCCCTGGGTACGTGGCCAGCCATGGCCTCAGCCCCGGAAAAGGCGAATCACAGCCCCACTGAGGGGACACCCCCGTGGGGTGGCTGTTACAGAAAACACGGGAGGTGACGAGCGCCGGGAGGGTGTGGGAGCTGGAGCGCGGAGTGTCGCCAGTGGGGACGTAGGGTGGGGCCGCCAGTGCAGAAGGGGCGTCCGCGAAGGCACAGGGACCCCACCACCCCACTCCTGAATGGGTGTTCATTCGCCGTGGCCAACGGGTAGGGCCAGCTGAGCGTCTGTGAGCTGGTGCGTGGGCAGCCACGGCGGAGTAAACCCACGCGGTGGAATAGTACCCGGCCATGCAAAGGGGTGAGCCCGGCACTGCCACCCCGTGGGCGAGCCGCAGAAACACCATGCCAGCGGGAAGAGCCAGACCCGAGGGCCCGCGGCACGTGACTCCATGTCTCTGACGGGTCTGGACTCAGTAACTCCACACAGGCAGAAAGCGGATGGGCGAGTGGCTGCCGGGGGCCGGGGGCGCGGAGCCACTGTTTAAGGGGTGCGGGCTTTCCCCCTGGGGTGACGGGAACGTTCTGGAACCAGGTAGGTGGTTGCACCGCTTTGTGATTGGATTAAACATCTCCAAGTTGTATATTTAAGATGGTTTTTAAAACGCTGAACTTGATGTTCTGTGGGGGAGGGAGTGGAAGCCCAGCTGTGGGTCACAGGGCCGCAACCTCTGTCATTCAGTCGCCCCCACATTCACTGTCTTTCTTCCCTTTAGGGAAAAAACTGGGATTCACCATCGACAATGGGAAACTCCATAACGTGTCCCTGGGACAGGGACAAGAGGTGGTGGCCGAGAACGCGCTGGACGTGGCTGCAGAGAATGGACACTGGGTCATTCTGCAGGTACGGCGGTGCCGGCACCTCCCGGCCGAGAAAGCCGGCCACGGGACTCGGGGGCGCCCACGCCAAGTTCAGCTCTGTCCAGGGCAGCCGGGTGCCACGGGGTGTCTGTCAGGGCTGTCGAGTGACAGCGTGGGTTCTTCAGAGGTGAGGAAGACCCCGGGCTGGACGCCAGAGAACCCCTGAGGGGCTACTACTATCTTAAACACTGAAACTGGCGACAAGAGCGCCCCTCCCCCTCCCCAAGCCCACGGCCCGGAGGGGCCCTCTCCGCGTTTTGGGTGAATCCCAGCACAACCCCGTCCTGGGTCCTGCGGCCTCCCGCAGCCCATCCTGGGCCTGGCTTGTCCCACAAGCACCTCCAGGCCACCCAGCTCCCGCAGACCCCGCGGTGTGGCTGACCTCAGTCCGCGGGCGTCACCTGACCCCATGTGGAGTCCTCAGCTTCGAGGCATTGCTTTTTGACTCGAGCCTCTCGGGAGGGGTGGGGACCGCGTCATCTCCCCCGTATGCCGGGCTGGCGGAGGGCGGGAAAGACACACCGTGAGGCTGGGGTCTTGGGTTAACTGAGCACAGAATCAACTCTGGGGCCACAGGTGCTTGGCTGAAACCATCCGCGTGCCCCGTAAAGGTGGACAGCGGGGTGCGGGGGCGGCTGCTGTCAGAAGCAGCCCGCCCAGGGACATGGCCAAGAGGCCTGTTCCCGTGGGCCCAGGGCAGGGGAGGGGCGCGTCGACACTAAGCCCTGGTCGTGGTCACAGAACATCCACCTGGTGGCCCGCTGGCTGAGCACCCTGGACAAGAAGGTGGAGCGGTACAGCACGGGCAGCCACGAGGACTACCGCGTGTTCATCAGCGCCGAGCCCGCCCCCAGCCCCGAGTCCCACATCATCCCCCAGGGCATCCTGGAAAACGCCATCAAAATCACCAACGAGCCACCCACGGGCATGTACGCCAACCTGCACAAGGCCCTGGACCTCTTCACCCAGGTGAGGCGGCTTCCCCTGCCGTGCATGCCAGCGCCAGGCCCCAGTCTGAGCAGCCCACAGGTGTGGGCCCGAGCTCCACGCTGGCTGTCTCCCATCCACGCCCCTCACGCACACACACACGCGCGCGCACACACGCACAGACGCGCACACACACACGCACACACACACACACACAGCCACGCACACACACACACGCGCACACACACGCACAGACGCGCGCACACACACACACACGCACACACACACACCTCAAACTGCAAGGTCAGCAAGCTCCTGGAAGGCTGCACAGATTGCTGTGGGAGCATCCATCACTCACGGCTTCATGAAACAAACGCGTGCTCGTAATCCGTTTCGTGACCTGCAAGTCGGCACTGGGAAACGAGGTCTGTTCTGCACTAGAACCTTCTGGGTGCTGCACACGCTTGGTCCCCAAATTGGAGTCTGAAGCCTTTGTGAGGAAAAAACCCTGTATTCTCCAGTGACAGCTAACCAAGGTCTATTTGTGGAGCGCACTGTGCCAAGAATGCATGACTTCTATATCTGGCTTATTTAATGTATAAAACCATATACGAACCTGTCAGAGTCATCGACCAAGAATTTCCTACCAGCTTTCAAAGGACCCACCACGGTCAGGGTGAGGTCACAGAGAACCGGACGCAGGAAAACAGATGTGCGGCCACACACTCCTCCCTCCGAGCGAGAAATACTGTGTGCCCGCGACGTCATAGGCACTGGGGACAGCTAGGCCAGAGTCTGCTGGGAAGTGGGTGCCCAGGGCGGGCAGCCGAGGCCAGAGGCGCGGGGTGGGGCAGCCGGGTGCAGGGCCCGGGAGGGCTCCCCAGCGGCACGCTCGGGCCCCTCTGCGCACATTTGACAGGTGTCTGTCCCTCGTCTGGCTTTCTGGACGCTGGGCCTGCAGCCACGGCAAAGCGCCTGGCCCAGAGGCACAGGAAGCGCTGAGCGGATGAGGAAGACACCGCTGAGCTTCTAGAAGTCTCCGTGTGTTCAGGAGTCACCGCCTGAGCAAAGGCTAATCAGGATCAGTACAGTCTCACACCCCTGATTGAGAACGTGGGCTGAGTTTGCCTTTCCCTGCGAACATGGAGAAGGGGCTTGCCAAGCACCCCCAGGGTTCCCACCCCTTACGGGCAGACTTCACGGGTGGGTTTTGAAGAGTGTGGGTACCGTTTGTATGTAAACAACGAGGCACATCGGTAAACGGGAGGGGACGTCATTTCTCATTAAGCACGTCCTGAGGTGCCCTGGGTCGGGGGTATTTCATTAAGAAGCAAAGTCAGTCTCTTGACTTGCAGTGACAGAACACTTCGGGTGACAGAACACTTTCCGTCAGTGTCCGGACAATGTTCCCTGAGGCCTTGCAGATGGGGAGAGAGGCGAGAGGCCAGCCCAGAGCAATCGAAGCCTTGACCCCTGACCCGCACCCCACCCCCAGGGAAGCAGCTGGCAGAGGGCACTCTGGCCCCCTGCTGGCGGCTCCCATGGGCCCGCCTGACCCGGAGCGTGCGCCCCCTGCAGGACACCCTGGAGATGTGCACCAAGGAGATCGAGTTCAAGTGCATCCTGTTCGCCCTTTGCTACTTCCACGCCGTGGTGGCCGAGAGGCGCAAGTTTGGGGCCCAGGGCTGGAATAGGTCGTACCCCTTCAACAACGGGGACCTCACCATCTCCATCAACGTGCTCTACAACTACCTGGAGGCCAACGCCAAGGTACGGGGCCAGGCTCACTTCTCCTTCCTCTCTCCCTCCTTTTATCTGTTGGCTTATGGTTAAGAGACATTGAGTAGGTTTTACAGCCAAGGCAAATCCAAAGCCTAAGATTCATCTAGACCTCGCCAACCTGATTCAAAGATGAGCATCCAATCCCCGGCCACCACCTCCCACAGGTGCCAGCCGTCGGGCACCGTTTCTGCTTGTTATCTACACTTTGGGGATCTGCCTGTCCGGCACTCGAACAGCGGGGGGTCGCGGATGAGGCTGGCGCTTGGGCAGCGTCCGGAGACAGAACCCAGGGCTAAAAGAACCTCCCTGGGAATACGGGAACGCTTCCCGCCGCTCCTAGTGAAAATTAAACGTGTCGTCAGACGCCGACAGCTGCAGAGGACTGAACAGCCAGCCAGTGAGCCCTCCTGGAGCGGGCCCCGGCCCTGTGGGTACAGGCAGACTCGGGGCCATGCAGGGGGCTGGAGGCGTGAGCACAGGGGTGGGCCCGAGCCCTGCGGTGAGTGGCACAGGGCCCCCGCGGGCAGCCCAGTGGCCTGGCTAGAGAGCCCTCAGTCTCGGCCACCCACCCGCCTCGCTGGGCCTTCTCGGGCCCTTGCTTACGTGAAGCCTGGTGCCGACACAACACTGCCCTGCGAGCCCACGGCCTTGGACTCCTCGCTCGTGCCCCGAAAGCGAGGATTCTGGCAGCCAGCACCTTCTTAAGCTGACAGAGGACCGGGAGCAAGTGCACAGTGCTCGTATTGTCCAGGAAGGCTCCTGAGACCCTGGGGGGTGGTCGCAGCTGAACTGGCGGTCAGAGCTTGCACCTCCCTCCCAGGCCGGGTGGCATAGTCGCAAAGGGCGCTGGTGGCCAGGGGCCCGAGTTTGGAGCCTGGCCCTGCTCCTCTGTCACTGAGAGACCTCCCCAAGCCTGGGGACAACACCCGGCCTTAACGATGTGGAGGTCAGCGAGGAAAGGTGCAGAGCACCCCTGTGGCTTAGGAGTGCTGGTCTCAGGCATCCCTCCTGTCTGCCACCCTCTGGTAAGAAGCTGGAGGCGCAGGCGGGAGTGGGGAGACCTCAGGCCAGGCAGGTGAGCGCAGCCCTGCACGTCCACTCCCAGGGGCAGCCGGGCCAGGGGCCGACTTCTGATGACCTGTGATGGCAAGTGCCGCCTTGGCCCTTGGCCTACAGAGCGGACAACCCGGCCTAGGCAGCCATGACGGAGCCACCAGTGCAGACCATGGGGGAGATGGCCCCCCCAGGACTGTCTCCCGAGCCGGAGCCTGGGGTGTTGCTGGCCATTCCCTGGCACAGCGGCCGGCCCTGGAGAAGGCCGAGGGCAGCATGGGCGGAGTCCCACGGGGTGTGTCCCTCGCCCCCACGCGGTGCCCCCCAGTCCTGCAGACGCTTTTCAGGGGAAGGGAAGGGCCGGCCACATTTGCCGTGGGCCGGCAGGGTGCTGGTGGTCACTCCACCAAAAACAGGGTCTGCGCTGGCTGCTGGCAGCACATGTCCCAGATGCAAGGGCCTGCGGGACTCCCTCGGAGGTCTCTCGGGATTTGTCGGGAGAAACAAACTTGCCAGGGCTTTTCAAGGGCGTTTGGTTAGACACCCCCAACCCCGTCACACACGCAGATTCCAGGGAACCAGAGAAAGGGGGTGCAGAGGACACACCCAGGGCCAGGCCTTGGGGTCAGGTTCCTGCAGTCACCTCCAGGAGGCCACCTTAGGTAAGGATGTCGATGTCGTCACTGCCCATGTCCCTGTCCCCAGCCCCTCTGTCCTGACTCAGGAAGCAGATGAGCGCTTACTACACACACAGACCCACTCAGACCCTTTCCGGGAAAGGCCCGGTGACGTTTCTGACTGGCACTCGGGGATTCCATCCGCAGGTGTGGGAACACCAATGGCATCCGTCCGTGGGGCTGTGTGCACTGCTCCCACCCCAAGGGGAAGGGCGGTCCCCAGGAGGCACCCGGTGGGGACCTGAGAGGTGGGGTGGGGTGGGCTCGCCCTGCCCTGCAGGAGAAACAACGCATTCCCCCAAAAAATCAGTACAATGCCGAAACAGCAGTTCAGCACGTACCCAAGATAACTGGCCGCCACAAAACGATAATTTAGAAAATATTAACATTCTCAGTCAAAATCCAATCGGTCAGCTGACGAGTCAACGAGTTCTTGCTCAACGAGCGAGCTGTCCTTTGCCAGCACTCGGTGATCAGCTGCTTGAGGCACTGGGAGTTCTGTGACCTAACTGTCCACCTCGCCCTGAGAGGGCCACGGTCACACGCAAGCAAAGGAGGTGGTGGCCGAGCGCATGCGGTGAGGCCCCAGGCCTGCGCTGCCCAGTGCCGCCACCCGCCCCCAGCCACAACCACCACGTCCAACCGGGGGTCTAAACCGCGCTGGAATTCCACAGCTAGGTGCCAAAAACCCCCAGAATGTAAAATGCTTTATTAAGAATCTTTACACTGATGCCTTTGGAATGAACTTTTCACTTCGCTTATGCGGCTGCTAGAAAATTTGAAATGACATGTGGCTATCCTTCGTGGCTCCCGTGACGTCTGTGGGACAGCGCTGTGCAGGAGGAGCCGCTCCGTGCGAGGGGCGTGAAAGCGGGAGGGACGAGTGCCTGGCCTTGCAGGGGAGGCCCAGCCTCGGAGGAGCCGGCCTCGGAGGACAAGCCATCGGGGCAGTGGTGGCTGGGGGGAGCGGGCATGCCAGCCTGGCACGTGTGACCCCGGGAGGAAGAAAGAGCAGTCGGAGTGGCTGAGCGTGGGACGAGCTCGAGACACGGCAGCAGACGGACTGGCGAGTTAGCTCGCTGGGCCTGCCGGTGGGCCCTGGACGGCCAGGCCGAATTCACTCTTTGCTCCCTGAGCCCCAGGAGCCCAAGGTCTGGCCGGGCGAGCTACCTGCCTGCGGCGGAGCTGGGGCGGAGGGCTGCGCAAGGGGACACGGACCCAGCGTGCTGTCCGTGGGGTCAGAAGGAAGACCCACGTGACGATCTGCCTGACTGGTACCAAGAGTCGAAACCCAGTCCGTGTAGAATTCAGCTGCTTTTGTTGAAAGTGGGCAGTGGAGGGAAAGTCACAGATGGCTTCACGTCTCCGAGCGTGACAGCAAAGGGAGGAACAGGCAGAGGGGGCAACTTGGGGCTGGAGAGGGGACCTGTGGAGTTTGGGGTACCGGCAGAGGGCTCTGGCGAAGTCACAAAGTACAGAGAGAAGGCTGCGGACAGAGGGCCCGGGGCTGTCCCCTGCCACCCGAGTCAGGCTCCCCCCCGAGGAACGGCGGTGGGGTGCGGGGAGGGGGTGGCTGGAGGCAGCTGCTGTGGAGGGGCTGGTGCCCGCCGCCAGTACAGACAGGGGCAGGGCGCACCGACCCTCACTGCCTCTGTCCTCTGAAGGTGCCTTGGGACGATCTCCGCTACCTTTTTGGTGAAATCATGTACGGCGGCCACATCACGGATGACTGGGACCGCCGGCTCTGCAGGACGTACCTGGTGGAGTACATCAGGGCGGAGATGCTGGAGGGAGAGATCCAGCTGGCCCCGGGGTTCCAGATCCCCCCCAACCTAGATTACAAGGTGAAAAGAACTGCCTCTCAGGGACGGCCGTCAAGGAAACATGAGCTCGCTCTGTGACACAGGGGTCACAAAGGTTAATGACGCCGTGGCCCGGCTCCCTCGTGAGAGCCTCGAGTCACAAATGGAACATCGATAATTGAGCAAGAAGCCGAGGAACCCAAATCAGAGGGTCTGAAAGGCAGCCTCTGGGGAGGGGGGACAGAGTCGTCCTTTGAGTAGCTGGGGAGCAAAGGGGGCAGGCCCAGGGCGTGGTCGGGGGGCCAGGGGGCCCATGCAGGGGGCGAGACACGGGCGGTGGTTCCGGTGAGAGCATCCCCGTGGGCACAGCTCTGCCCATGGCCTGACCAGCCATCCTTGACCAGGGCTACCACGAGTACATCGACGAGAACCTGCCCCCCGAGAGTCCCTACCTGTACGGCCTGCACCCCAATGCAGAGATTGGCTTTTTGACGGTCACCTCGGAGAAGCTGTTCCGCACGGTCTTGGAGATGCAGCCCAAAGAGAGCGACTCGGGAGCGGGTGCCGGAGTGTCCCGTGAGGAGAAGGCAGGGCTCGCCCACCCCCCACCCACCCCGGGCCAGCGGGAGGGCAGGGCCCAGGACCCGGGGTCGCAGAGCGCACCTCGAAACCTGTCAGCGGCCACACTCGCGTCCCACCTCCAGGGCGGGGTCCTCGGGGAGTGCGGCGGCCTCCGGCTTTACCCGCCGAGCACCCGCGGGCTGCCCTTCGAGCCCTGGACCCGTGGCCCTCCCAGGATGGTCTGGCCCCATGGGGACTGTTCCTCCAGAGCGTGGATGGTGGCAGTGGGCAGTCCTGCTGACACTCAAAGCAGCCTCCAGAAAGGTGAAGAGCACTTAAAAAGTCCTCACCTGTCTGGGTGACCTCTGCCACCTCAGGAGGCACTGGCACCTTTGCACTTTGTAAATCTACTCTGGACAAATTCTGTGAAAAATTAGCTAAGTGTTAGGCTTCGCAGTAAAGAGGCCAAATTCGTAATTGAAGACCCTCGGGGATCTTAGGCCCGTGAACTTCTCTTGGTCTAATGACTGAGACCAGAAGTCTACTGCTGGGCCGGCAGTGCGCCGACCACGTGCGGGCCCCTCTGTGAGACAGTCCCTACGGGCAGTCCACGTGGAAGACGAAGTCAGAATCCCACCACCATCGGGTGAGCTGACTGGGGGATGGAAGCCGCATTCAGGGACATCTGAAGGTACTAGGCTAGGGTGGCCTGATGTTCCCCTGGCCACAGCCATACGGCCTTGACAATGGGACGAGAACACTCAAACAGAGCCTCTTGGCCAAGGCTCCCTTCCCCTCATCAGACATGTGGTCGCAGCAGCAAGACCCCGTCTTCCGGGCACCTCTACTCGTCTTTGCTCCCAGATTCGGGCTGTAAATGCCCGGGGTGGGGTCCCTGGCACCGAGGGGCAGGCTGGTGGGTGCAGGTGCAGTGACGCGGCTGGCTGGGGACTGACTTCCAGGTGAAGGCCGTGCTGGATGAGGTCCTCGAGAAGATCCCAGAGACATTCAACATGGCCGAGATCATGGCCAAGGCGGCCGAAAAGACCCCCTACGTGGTGGTCGCCTTCCAAGAATGTGAACGCATGAACATCCTAACCAACGAAATGCGCCGTTCACTCAAGGAGTTGAACTTGGGGCTGAAGGTAAGAAAAACGGGTGAGCTGGGCCCCGGGGATGCGGCTCGGGACGCAGGCTGGCCGCTGCGGGCTGGCGCACTACCTCATCTGCAAAACCAACCAGCCACCCAGCCCACCGGGTGCCCTGGCCCTCAGCATTGCACGCCACTGCCCCCCCTCCACCCCCAGGCTGGGGTCGTGGGTGCTCCAGGACAGGAGAGGGAGGCCACCCAGACCGTTCCTTGCAGGAGGCGCTGGCGTGGCCACCTCAGGCATGTGCAGAGGCCCCATGCTGTGTCGGACTGCACTTCCACGAGAGCTCACGGGGCAGGCGGGTGGGTGCTCCGCCACCTTGCTGAGATCAGGGCAGACAGGGCCCATGACTGACCAGGTCTACATCCGTGCCGCATGGCACAGCCTGGCCCCCAAGCACCCGTCTATGTCCCTCAGGGGGAACTGACCATCACGACTGACATGGAAGACCTCTCCACGGCTCTGTTCTATGACACCGTGCCCGACACGTGGGTGGCCCGGGCCTACCCCTCCATGATGGGCCTGGCGGCCTGGTACGCCGACCTGCTGCTCCGCATCAGGGTAAGGACAGCCCAGGGCTCAGCGTGCCCCACCCCCAGAGCCTGCAGGAACGTGGCCCTGAGTCCCCGCCAGAGGCCTGGAGGCCCCGCTGGCCTGGCCTTTGTCAGAGCAGGGCTGGAAGGGCCAGATCCACGCCACAGAGACGCCTGACAACACAGGCACTTCCTCCTAAAGGAAGAACACGGCAGCTTCCAGCCACAGAGCGAGCTGTCCCCAGAGCCCAGGCGCTCAAGCGACACCATCAGCGCGCCACCTGCCACAGGCGGAAGCCTCTTCTCTTCAAACGCTCAGCCACCCCTCCTCGGCCCTTCCCCTCCCGTCCCCTCACTTAAAATGGAGGCAGCCCGGTAGCCAGGCCTCAGCCGCCTGCGAGGTGGGCCGCGCTCTGCGGGGGGCACACAGGGTCCCCGCGTGACCCCACTCGTGTGTCCTTCCAGGAGCTGGAGGCCTGGACGACCGACTTCGCCCTCCCCACCACCGTGTGGCTGGCCGGCTTCTTCAACCCCCAGTCCTTCCTCACGGCCATCATGCAGTCCATGGCCAGGAAGAACGAATGGCCGCTAGACAAGATGTGTCTGTCCGTGGAAGTGACCAAGAAGACCCGGGAGGACATGACTGCGCCCCCGCGAGAGGGCTCCTACGTGTACGGGCTCTTCATGGAAGGTCAGAGGGCGCTGGGCCACAGAAACTTCCAGAACTGTCCTGCTCCGCTGGAGGAGAGACTAGCTCTTGGCGGGAACAGGCTGTGCATGCCGTGAGGGGCCAGGCGGCCACGTGGGCTCGCAGTGGGCAGCTGACTGGAGACGGGTGACAGGGTTCTGAGCGTCTACTCAGCCAGAGGTCTGGAGGAGGCGGAAGCACGGCCTGGCCCTGCTTGGCTGAAGTGGCCGGCTCACCCCCAGACGTGGGTTCCACTGTTCCATGGTGACAAGGGAGTCAGCCCTCCCAAGCCCTGGGCAGGGAGCCCAGCAGAGATGTGCACTAGTGAGCGAGGCCAGGGTCCAGGCCCGCCCCCCGGCCAGAGCTCCTGTTGGAGCTGCTGCCTGCCACCCCGGGCACAGGCTGCAGGGGAGGGCGGTGCCTGCCCACCTTGTCTGCACCCGATGCCAGGCTGTCCGAGGGGCCAGGAGCGAGCAGCTGGGGGCAGAGGCCCGTATGCCGACCCCTATCCCACACCGGAGAAGGCATTTCCTTAGCCCACTGAGCTGAGTGCCAGCCACTCACCACAGACCTCTGTCCTACTCAGCAAGCAACATCACCCCTTATTGAGGGGGGGGGGCTGTGTGTCAGGGCTTGGCCAGTGAAAGCTCGGGGCCCCCCAGTTCCCACATCACCAAAGACAAGCACAGCAGCAGCCATCCCCATGTTTATTTTGAAATTAGACAGGAAACATTAACGTCATTAAATAGGATGAGTAGAAACAAGAGCAGCCCAGTTAGAGCAGACAGCAGTCGCACGTGCGTGAGGACGCAGAGTCACACTGCGCGTGTGCACACAGGCCCCGCCTCCTGCTGCTACTTAGTGGAGTCATAAAGTGGAGTGAGCTAGGAAGGCTGGCGGATGGCGCTGAAACCCCACGAATGCAACATGGAGCCGGCGGGCCGCGGCACACGGCAGCGCCTCATTACCGCCCGGTCCCCGTGTGCGAGTCCATCGTCAGCATCCCTGTGCCAGTCCAGCCCCGGCACCTGGCCTGAGCTCTCCGGGGGCGGAGCCGAGCCGGCGGACTCGGGCACCAACCTGTCTCTGCAGAGGTGGGGATCAAGGCCGGGCTCCTGTCGCTTCCGGGCCATGCCGGCCCTCACTGCGGCACTGTCCCTGCAGGAGCTCGCTGGGACACCCAGACCGGGGTCATCGCCGAAGCGCGGCTGAAGGAGCTGACGCCAGCCATGCCCGTCATCTTCGTCAAGGCCATCCCTGTGGACCGCATGGAGACCAAGAACATGTATGAGTGTCCTGTGTACAAAACGCGCATCCGCGGCCCCACCTACGTCTGGACCTTCAACTTGAAGACCAAAGAGAAGGCGGCGAAGTGGGTCCTGGCGGCCGTGGCGCTGCTCCTGCAGGTCTAGAGGCCCCTGGCCCCGACCCCAGCCCTACGCAGCTGCAGACACAGTCAGGAGCCTGCCCGCGGGGAGTGCTGACCCTCACAGGAACTGGGGTCTGCCGCCACCCCCTGAATAATCAAGGCACATCATAACCGTGTGCGTCCAGACTAGCCGGAGGGTGGGGGGCAGCGTGCAAGCGGGGGCTCGGGCTGGATTAAAGTGATGAAGTTACTGAGTTTTGCCATCTGATTCACCTGAGTCGCCCTTCAGCTTGGCTCCTGATGGCCACCAGGGGCCTGCCACAGGCTTGGGGACGAGGGCCCAATTCCCAGCAGCGGAGGCAAGTGTCCCAGGAACAACCCCAAATCCTTACCTCCCGCAGGCAGCATGCAGGGTTAGGGAGCGGCGATCCCACCCTTTGGCCAACAACCCACTGAGGGGACAGGGCACTCTGGACAGGAGCTGCCACCTCCACGCAGTCCCCTAAAGCATCACCCCTTCTCTCGAGGACAGAGAACCGTGCTCGATTCTGGAAGCGCTCCCCACAAAGTGCTCCAGAGGCACCGTCTCCATGTAGCCATAGTGCCTCCCCATCAACTGCCCACTTCCTGAAATTGCTGAGGACCAGGCACATGACCATGGATTTGGGGACCAGCGTAGATGTGTGCGTGCTGGGAGGCCACAGGCTTCCACAAAGGACTGCCCGGGCCATGAGCCCGTTTCCTGGGGCGGCACTGCTGCCTGCCTCCAGCAGCCTAATTCGCCACGTGGGGCTGGCAGGGGGGCCGGGCCCTGTGGCAGTGCAGGAAACCGATTCCAAACCAGCGGTCTGCGACGCGGGGACAAGCGCTGCAAGCCTAGCACCCTGTCCCCTGGGCAAGTCCCTCGGCCTGTCTGCTTCAGGCCTCTGAACCTGTGCAGGGGAACAGGACTTAGGAAAACAATCGTGCCCAACAGGACACGATTCACAAGCGTGCACAGCCTACTGCACGACGTGGCCAGCGGGGAAGGTCCCTGCTCGTCCCTCCTCACTCCGTGGGCTCCTGCCCCGAGGGCAGAGGTGGCTGCTGTGGTGCTGATGCCAAGGCCACCCGGGCCTGGTCTGACGGGTAACGGGGGGGTTTCTATCTGCCACCAGAGTGAGACCAGCGAGCCCCATGCCACAGTGACACAGGACATCTTAGCATCTGAGGCTGGCCCAGGCATTGGGATGCAGGCAAGAGGAGGAGCCGGGCTGGGAAACGGCGGGCACGGACTCCAGAGGGGCCCATGGGCTGGCCCCCTGGGTGCTAACGCCGAGGCAAGGCAGCCCCGAGGGACGCCAAGCTGTGCTCTGAGTCCCCCCTCGATCCTATAGTTTTGTGAAAACTTTTTTTCTGAGAATTCTCACCCAAACCATGGGAGAAGAAAAGGACCTGGAAGCCCTAAATCTGAGGCTAAGTCGCAGCCAGCCTGGGACCCCGCAGGGCTGAGAGGGGGAAGGAGGACAAACGTCCCTCACCCCTGCTCCCTGTGCCCATCGGGCTGCAGCCAGGAAGGCAGGAGACTGGCCGCCCGGCAACCACCTATGCTGGCCAGAAGGGGTCACTGCAGCCCTTTGTGTCCAGGCCCGAGGGACAGGAGCGTCACTCCTGGCAAAGGAGGAGATAAAACAACCAGTGGCCACCAGGCAACTCATTTCCGATCCCCGGCGATAACCGCAAAATGGAAAGGTTTCCAGTTCTGCCATCGGAGCCTGAACCGGTCACTTATTCGGCAGCACACGCTGTGGGTGGGTGAAGGAACCGCCTCCGGACTTTCCAAGAGACGGCTCAGCTCGGGGCTGCAGTCCAGCACGGGGAAACAGCGACTGGCACGACCGGCTGTGCACGTGGAGGTGCGGGGAGGCCGGGCACCACTGCGCACCTGCCCTCGGCCAGGCAGAGAAGGGGCGGGGGGCGGGGCGGTGGTTTGGGGGCGTGTCTCGCAGATAATCGGCAGAGATAGAGAGAGCGGGCGGGACAGCTCAGCCAGGCTGGGGGAGTGTTTACTCTGGTCCCACAAAAAAAGTGTTTGCCGGGAGCCTCTCTCCAAACAGAAACCCAGTGCCCTGGCACATTCTTTTGGCTTCTCCGGTCTGACTGTCCCACAGGACAATTTAATAACTAGTTAGAAGGCAAACAGTGTTACGGGGGCAGCGCGGCCCTGGCCACACTCCGCTGAGCCCTGCAGGCTGCGTGTCGGCGGCAGGGGTGGCGAGCGGGACTGCAGATGCTCTTGGCGCCGGAGCTGCCCCAGCTGCCCCATGCACACGGCAAGCCCCTGGGGGCCAGGCCAGCCGCAGCCTTCAAGGACCCTGAAGGTGACTGTCAGAGCCACCAGCCCATGCGAGAGAGAAGAGTAAAGCTGCTTCCAGAGGCCACGTGCAGGGGTGGCCCTAACCTCACTCCCCGGAGGACAGGCTGCCACGCCCGGGCCGAGCCTTCTCCTGGAAGGGCTTTTTTCTCTGTGCAAGGTTCAAGCTGCCAACGCAGAGATGGGGCAGTGGTTTTATAAATACCAGCGATGCGTTTTAAAGATGCCCTGCTGTGAGGTGACACAAAAAGCTTTGAGAAGATCCAATAAAAATGAGATTAATTCTTCAACAGATAAACTGTAAGGGAAAAAAAACCAGAGACCCCTATGGATTAAATGAGTCTCAGGTGACATGTCACCAATCACCAGGTGTGGAACTTAGAGAGACCTCTAGTCAAACGCATCAAAAAATTAGAAGAAAATAAAAAATACTAGACAATTGGAGTTGTGAACAGGGTTCTGGGTATTTGAGGACGATGAGCCATTCTTGCTAACGTTTGAATCAGGTGTGATGCTGGTATAATGTTTGGAGTTTTTTGTGGGCTTTTTTTAAGAGTATGTTTTAGGGGGCCCAAGGGAACCCACATTGCAAACGAGGAGTCTGATACTGAAAGATGCGCCCCTCCCCACAACCATCCCCATCCCCCACCCCGTGAGGGCTGGACAGCCCCGCCGGAGGACCCCGGAAGACTGACCCCGTCTGGGGCCCTCTGTGGGTGAGGTCAGTGTCTGAGGGGATCTGGAACACAGACAGCCACTCGGGAGAGGCACCCCGTCTAACGGCAGCCGCACCCCCTGGTGTCCGGACAGTGAGGGACGTTCAGGCTGCGCCTACTCGCGGGGCAGAGAGGCAGCCTCTGGTGCCAGTGGCGGGCTCCCCGTGGGTGGGCAGAGGCATCCCGCACGGAGAACGGGGCACCTCCGTAAGGGCACCTCCCAGAAATGTCGGGGTGGAGGCCCCGCCCCAGCGTCTGGGCCACACTCCCCCACCCCGGCGAGCCGCCGGCCCGGGCAGCAAGCCAGAACCCTCCCGACCACTGCTGCCGCCAAGCCACGTGCGCAGCCCCGGGGGGCATACAGACTCTGCCTCTGTGTCCCCACGGCCACTGGGCCCTTGCCCCAGGGCCAGTGGGGCAGACGGGCACTCCATGACACGGAGCCCAGCACAGCGACCCGGGACTTGTGGAGAGGGCACGTGACGAAAGGTGAAAGGGCTGCCCAGTTTAGCATCAGGCTTCAGACACTTCGATGATAAGTGTCCCCGACCCGAGAGAGACAGTACTCCTAAGCGACCCACGGATGGGCAAGAGCCTGGGCACTCCTGCTGGGGAACCGCACGGGGTGGGCACTAAAGGTGGCACCTGTCATCCTCAGAAGAAGTTCTTAATCAGCGGAGTCACCAGCTTCACCCACAGCTTCACCTGCCGACTCGGCTGCTCGAAGGTGGCGGCGGACACGGCACCTGACCTCAGGTAGAGCTGCTCCTGCTCCTGAGGGAGAGGGACGACAGGAGTCAGGGCGGCCGCCAGACAGCGGTGCCGGGCGGGAGGCCAGGCCGCACACGCCACCCCGCTAGAACATTCCCTCGGAAAGCCAGGATGCCCGTGGTCCTCAACTTTTAAGACCCAGACGCACATGGAACAGGCGACTGAGAGCTGAAGAAACGTCTGCCCTCGCTAAGTGAGGTCCTGCACATTAGTCATTACTTTTAAACAAGAAGTCTTTCTTCTCTCAAATCGGCACACCGCTGGTGGCACACCAGCCATCTCTGCGGGGGGCAAGCTAGCAACAGGTCTCCGAAGCCTCAAGCTCAACTTGCAAGAGTTTATTTCAAGAAAATAACCATGCTTTCAGATTTCTGACACTGATATTAATCATAGCGACATTTATACCAGGGAAAATACTGGAAACCACCTAAATGTCCCACAGCTAATGAAACAGAATCAACCCATATGACGAGCCGACACTCACCACGAGGTGAGCATTCTAGAAAAGCGTTTGTTAATAACGTGGGAAAGTGCACAACGTGTTAAACTGAAGACGAAGACATGAGACTCTACCGCTGACCCCGACTCCACCAGAAAGCGAGCGAGCCACGCCTGTCCGCACGCGCGCAGAATGACACGGGGTGAGATGATCTCGGGGCTCAGCTCTGGATGCGCGGCCGAGGTTCTGCTCACTTTCTTAATGCTTACGATGGACGTTTATTACGTTCGTATCCAAAAACGAGTTAAGAAACGCTGACTAAGCCCTGTCATAAACTGCGTCTGGAATCGCTGCAGGAGAAACCATCCCTCGTAAACGTGTCCTCCCCACGCTGCTCCCTTTCGTCAGGGACGGCCGTCTCTGGGCCCTCTGTCCCCTTAGCTACAAAATCCCGACCACCCCACACCACCATGAGGACCCAGCGGCAATGGCTACGGAAACGCTCTGTCCACTGCAGGACCAGCAGCGCCAGGGCGAACGCTGGATGGAGCTCCCCGCGGGCTCGCCGGACCCAGTGGGAGGGGATGGAGGACACCGCGCCCGCCGGGGCATTGCAGAGCGGTCCCCAGCCTCTCCCGGCGCGTGTCTCCTGCCCCCCCTGCCTGTTTCTGGTGCTGGCTCCATGGCCGGGAACCCCGCGCCCTGGGGCCTGGGGCAGGCGGCGCTCCCGATCCAGGGGACTGTCCTGTTCCACTCTGACCCACTGGACTCCCAGCTGCTGCTGCAAGGGACCCAGTCCCTGGCCAGTGTGCCTGACGGAGGAGCCAGCCTCGGTCTCAAGGGGCTGGTTTGCCCAAGTCTCCACAGACTGGCTCCAGCTCTATGTTTTCACATGAATACGCAGCCAAGATTTCAATTAAATTACCAGAAACACTTAAGTTTCCTCCCAGACTCCACAACAGGCATGGAGGAGGAAGTCAGCTGACGGGGGTCACAATGCTATTCGAGGGAGTCTTTCTGGGGTCACAAGTGGTAAACCGTGTTCTCTGAACAAAACCAGGAAGCGTTCAGTTTCATTGTCTGTGCTAAGTGGAGGGAGGGGCTTCAGGTTCTGACAAAAATATCTCCCGTTGCCGGTCCCACGAGGCCCGCATGGGGCCCTTCCCCGCATCCCAAGGAGGGCTCCAGGGCGGCTTCTGGGAGCAGGCGCCTGGGCACCGGGGTTCCCGGGACTTTCTGGGCTGTGGGGAGGTTGTGAGGGGGGCCGTCCCAGGATCGGGCCCCACACGGCACCCTCTAGAGGCGGGGCTACACTCCCAGTATGTCAGCACACTGGAGGAACTCTCTAGAACTCTGTGCATCTCAAAGGCACAGAAGTCAAAATGCCTCTAAGGAATGGGGCGGGGGGTGGGGGGGGACTGCAGCTTGCAGTGGGCAGGAGCTGCCACTCTCCCACACCAAGAGCCCCTGGGATTCAGGTTTGGGAAGAAAGAGAAAACATCTCAAGTATGTCATTTGGGAAAGCAGCTCCTAACCACAACCCGCCAAGCTTTTCTCAATACCAGGATGTGGGTTCAGTCCCCTTACTACAGAGGTGGAGGAGAGCGGCCAGCACCAGGGCCCTGGGCGCAGGCCTGGGGGACCTGCTCCCCGCAGTCAGCCCAGGTCCACGGAGACCTTGCCCTGTCTAGGCCAAGTTCGCACCAAGGACTGCCCTGACGGGGGCAGAGCCTCAGAGACGAGGCGTCTGGAGACCCAGCTCTCTGCGACGAGGCGGCAGGCCAGGAGACGAAGCTGCAGGCCCGCACCCGGCACGCCAGTCTGGCTGCGAGGCCAGCGTCCCCTGCAGGGACCTCGGCTGCGGGGGCTCCCTCAGTCATTTGCTGGAAGCCTGGCTTTAGCCAGAAACCTGCTGAGCGGATCAGATTCGACCGCTGGCCACCCAGAGCATGACCGCTGCCACTTCCTCTCGCCCCTGGTCATGAAGCCCTTCCCGGCACCAAGGCCCCACTCAGTCAGACGACATTCCCAGATCGCAGGAGGCAGATCCCAGGGACAAGGCCGTGACCATTTCCTCCTCCGTCAACAAAGGCTCCAATGATTTCGCAACAAGAATTCCCGACCGCTGGAGAAGAAAAGCTCCAGCCACCGGCCGAGGCCTCAAGGCCTGGCCTGCAGCGGGGTTATCTGTATTCCCGTGACTCGGGGGGAAGCTGCGACCGTCCATGGACGAGCTTTGTTGTAAGTGTCTCCTAGCGTCCAGACACGGGTACTGTGCTCACGTTCTTGAAAGTCCATGGCTGCCGTGACAGACCTTCACACGAGAGCTCTACGAAAGTCCAGCAGCTTTCTGTTTCTCTCTACGCTCGGCAGGGCGAGCCTGGCCAGCGAGCAGGGAGGGCCGAGACCGGGCGGGCCCCTCGGGAAGCAAGCCACCGCTGCGTTCCTCCCCTGCTTCTCTGGACCTGACGGTGGTCGCCAGCCACCCAGCAGCATGGGGCTCAGGGTCCCTGACCCCGTGACCCTCCGGCCCGAGCTCGGAATGAGGCCGCTCTCCCAACTTCCAAACGCCCGAGCGCAGACCCAGTCACGCGCTCTGGAAAGTCTCTTCCAGGGGGCCGGAGAGGAGGGTCCTCGGAGGGCCACCTGCGCTCGGTCGTCGCACACCAACGGGCGAGCCAGCCAGAGCGACAGGTCTCCCCTCAGGCCCCTGCCACTGCCGGCGGGAAGGGTGCCGCCTCTCCCTCACGGCCGCAGCGAAGCAGCCTCACCACCACGACGCGCACAAAAAACCACGCAACTCTGAGACACCCGCACTTCCCAAGGATGACGGACCCCGACTTGCCCACGCTCCGTGCCCAGACGTGGGTAGGACGCAGAGGCAGCCCATGCCCACGCCCGGCCTCCAGACCCTGCTCCTGGCCTGGCACGTCCAGGCCTGCTCTCCGCCGCCTCCAGCATATCCAATCCCAAACCAGCCCAAGCCAGATCAGCACCCAGTGAAAGGACTCTGGAACAAAATAAACAGAACCCAGACCATCAGTGCAGAAGGACTGCCAGTCAAGGGCACAGAAGCCTGTGCGTGGACGTCAAGCCTCTGGGACCACTTGGTCCCTGGGGCCACCCTCTGCACTGGCGCTCCGGTCCCTGAGGGCTGGCCTCCCTTTCCAGCTCCTGTCTCTCCTCAGACACTGCTCCCCGCGTGCGCCTCTGCCCGGGGGCCCAGCTGCCCGCCAGGGATCTGCATTCTGGGAAGAGGCTGGGAGCTGCCATGTTCCTGTCCCCGTGAGAACACACTGTTCCCCTCTCGCAGGAAGCGGCCCTCGGGAGGAAGCGGCCACACTGGCCGGAGGCGGCTCAGCGGGCAGAGGGCATGAGGCTGCAACGGGCAGCCCGCAGCAGGCTCCTCTCGGCACCGGTCACTCCCGCCGCCTGCAGGCGGGCGCAGACTCCAGCTCTTTCTCGCTCTGCTCTCAGTCCCCGGAGGGCCATGGCTCTTAGGGAACCAGGGACACGGGGGGCTGAGCACCCGGGCACACCCCACTCGCCCAGACCGACCTGGTGAAGCTGCTGCTGCAGGGCCCGGTTTTCCGTCACGATGGCGATCTGGGCCTCCAGGTCCCGGTGGACTGACCTGTACCCAAAATTAGGAGAGCCAATCAACGTGAGACAGGGCAGGCTGCTCCCGGCCAGGTACAGCCAGAGGCCTGCAGGGAAAAGGAGACGTGCAGACAGGAAGTGAGCACAGCATCTGCGAAGCCACTCCACACCCCAGTCCAACCCAAGGGAGATGCAGCCCACCCGGGGCACTGGGGGCCACAGGCGCAGCAAGCCGGGGGAGCAGGCCGACCCGGGCCCTGCATCCCTCCGCGGCCCCAGGTGCTGCCACGGTCTGCGGGCAGCTCACGGGGATGGCTCCTTGTTCTTGCTGCGGGCCCTCTTCTCAAGCACGACAGGAAATAGGTCCTTAAAGAGGACACGGTGATGCCCGTGCTTAGGCTCTGCCCCCCCATGCCAAACGGCCTCCCCCCACCCTGCCACCCCAGAGCTCAGGGCCTCTAATCCCTGCTCTCCAAACTGCCTCGGCCACAGCCTGGCCACTGGAGCTCAGCCCACTTGGCTGGTGGCTCCATCGTCCTTCTATGAGCACCAAGAGGAAGAAGCCACCGCCATGCTAAAACAGGGGGCTGGGAACAGCAGATGTGGGCTGTCATATGGGAGTGACAAAGGCACTTGTCAGGTTATTGCATTCTCTGTCTACCGGAGGACAAGCCGTGCCCTTCCTACTGAGGGACACACTCTCCCTACTGCAGGTTCTAACGTGCCACAAAGGACTGGGAGCCCAGAAGGCGCTGAAGTAAGCAACTGCCAGGGGTTCGGGGACTCCTAGGCCGGACAATGTCCACTAGAGACCAAGGGAGGGATGATGTGTGAGGCCCTGCGAGTCTGCCCCGCCCCAGAGAACACGGCTCCCCTTTCTGCTGGAAAACGAACCGGCTGATGTCACACTCAGAGACAAGGCAGAGCACAGCACGAGCAGCCATGTGGTCGTGGTTCCCATGTGTCTCCTTGCCCTAGACTCCTGCCACCTCTACAACACCATGGTGACATCTCTGTAACGAAGGTCACGGATTCTCGCAGAACCTAAAGCGTCGCAGAACGCAGTACGGGCAGGCCCTCTGCTCTGCACCCTGTGGCCCCCACCCCGTCGCCTCTCCAGAGTTGCAGTGCTGGCCCGCACGGTCCAGTTCCTTTGGAACAACTGCTCCCACAAGGACCACTCCCAACCCCAGAGGACGTCTGCTGCCCTAGCCGCCCTCCCTCCCACAGGGCCCAGACCTGCGCCTGGCCTCTGCAGCATGTGACACCCTCACGAGCACCAAGGACGCTTGGCCCAGCAAGGAGTTGGTCCCCAGCTCCTGTGCAGGGCTCCCCGACTCGCAGCCAGCCTCCTCATGCCCTCCCCGTCTCCCTCTCAACACGGGTCTCTCCTCTGCCAATGCGACCCTTTCGAAGGGTCCATGGCCATGCATGATCCTCACCAGTGAATCAACAACATGTGACACACGCCGTGCTCCTCAAATAGAACAGCTTGGGTAAGAGATGACGGTGCCCTGCTGCCTGTTCCTGTAACGTGCCTGACCCTTCGACATACACACAGGGCTCGTGGCAACACCGCCTGCTCGCCTGTGTGCAGCGCTAAATGAACTACACTGTCCCCCTGGGCCGCTGCCGTGCAGGAACCACACGGCGAGCCTTACCCTGCGCCGAGAGAGCACGAGGAGGGCAGCGGGCACGCACTCCAAGCAAGATGGCCGCATCTGTCTCGTGCGCATACACCAGGCTGACACCCAGCCCACCCACCCCACACGGGGCCTGGAGCTGGGAGGGAAAAGGCGACACATGGGCAGATCTCCACCAGCCTCAGAATAAAGGGAAGCGCTTCGGCCACCTACTGTGACGGTCCCAAGTCTTCTAATGCCAAGATCGGCCCCTTAAACCCACGGGGTCCGCTCAGTGCTACTTGTCCAGCCAGAGGCGGCAGGCGAGACTGAACGGAAGAGAGAGAGGCCCAACACCCACGTGGCTGACATGGGTGCCAGCTGATGAGACTCATACCACCCTGTCCGTCCAAGGCTCCTGGACCACAGGGTCTGGTGGGGAGGGGCCTGATCCTACCGGTACTTTTTATTTGTAAAAACTGCCCTGACACCGATCTGTCACGAAGCAACCAAGGGGTCCAGCCGTCAGAGGCAGGCAGGCCATCTCCCCCGACCCCGACAACCCCCGACACGCACCACTGCTCCTCAACCTGCTCTCGTCACTGAACCCCTGCAAGGAGGTTTTCAGAACCCTTTTGACTAACCGTCACGCCCCAAATGAAACTTTATTGTCACGGATACACGGTCCCCGTTTGCGTACTCCCTGCAGGCATACCCGTGCTTCACGTGTAAAAAGACCACGAGATTCCCAGCACCCTCCCCAAGGCCCGGGGACGCAGGACACACGCCTCCTGCCTGTCCTTCTCACCTCCCGGCCACCTTCTCACCTCTCACCTCTCTGCCTCCCCCGTACCTCTCCTCTCTCCTCGCAGCCCGGGCTGGACTCCGGGTGAGCCCTCGGGATTAAAGAGGCGCACACGCGTCGACCCTACTGACCACTCTGGGGAGGCCCGCGACCAGCCCTCCAACCTCCCTGCGGTCTGACGTGTCCTGACACTTTTCTCCAACGAAAAGAAAATAAAGACCATAAATGGCGTGACGGGTGGCTTCACAGGGCCCACGCCCACGGGGGACAACGTTTCCTCTGGACTGACGCAGGCCGGCCAGGAGTGTTCAGCTCTGTTCTGTGCCCTGGGGACAGCTGGGAACCGGTCCCCGGGACAGGGGAGAGAGAGACTCTGCCGAGCTCTTTTATCCCTTGGGTCCCGATGCTGGCGAGTACACACGGGAACAGTCAGCACAGGACCCACCATGGGAAGCACGACACTTCCCAGGCCCCCTGAAACCTGTCATCGAGCCCCAGCTCCCCACCCCGGGCCTGCCCAGGAGCCCAGAGTAGGGTGGCTCCAGGCCAGAGCACAGCAGGAGGACTGAGCCTGGGCGGTTCAGGGCAGGGAGCCGTGCTCGGGCTTCAGGGGTCAGAGGATGGCTGGACTGGAGTCCCAAGACCTCTGCTCCCAGCCCTGGACCGGACGGCCTCTCTGCGCCCCAGGCCTCCTCTTTAGAAAGGGGGCGCCTGGTCCTGCCCGACTCACGCCGACCAGCCCTTCTCCACCCAGGCCAGCGTCACTCTGCAGGGCGACCCGGTTCCCGAAGGGCCTGGCCACCTCCCAGTCCCACTGCCCACCGCTCCCAGCCCTCCTCCCTCCACTCCTGGCCAAGCCTCCCAGAGCTGCTTTTCAAGCCTAGTGTGGCCTCAGGGCTTCCCAGTTCTGTTCCCCCGTGTCACCTCCTCAGAGAGGCCCTCCCCATCCTGTCAGCCTGGATTCCCTCCTCCTGCCATTACATTCACCTGCTTGCCATCCGCCTCCCACTGAACCATGGGCCTCAGGAGAACCGGGAGTCAGCGTGTCTCATTCCCAAGGACTTACTCCCATATCTTGAATGCTGCCTGGCATAAGGCAGGCCCTCGATAAACATTTGAATAAAATAAATGAGAACAGCATGGCCTCTTCCAACAACCAATGATTAAATTAGGCATGAAAAAGCTTTGGGGTTCTAAAGCAGAAACTCGTGAACACTTTGAGTTAGAGACCTTCTCTGAGCATCGCTCCAAGACAGATTCAAACATATGCCCCCCACCTCCTCCCACGGTATTCTGCAATAAAGCTCAGGGGGTTCTCAGACCCCTGTGAAACAAGAGAGGACAGAAGATGTCTCGGTCCTCTCCTGGGATGGATAAGCATCCGCCCATCCTGACACAAAATAGCATGAAACGCTCTAAGAGGCCCCAAAGTTGGTGCATGTGTCAGTATAAGGTGGCAATCCATGGCCCTGCCGCCAGAGCACACCTGCACATCTGGTTCCCAAGTGAAATTACCCCGCGTGCTCCAGGAAAGATGGGGTGGAGCTGCCCCAGCAGCCACGGCAAGTTCTCTTTTGGGCACTATGCCAAGTGGCCTATCGGGAAAGCAGTAAAAATAGTGACAATTCTCACAATCATTAACAGATTCCTGTCAGCATGAGCCAGAAATCTCTTCATCCAACGGCCCGGCCCCGCCCTAGCCACACACACCACTGTGGAGATAGAATATCACTGTGTCCAGATGATTCAAAGTCAAGGACTCAAAACTCACTTTCTGACCCTCCCCCTGACACACCTGCCTGCAGGTGCAGCCGTGTCCCCCAGTGAGGACTTGGCCCCACTTAAGGGGCTGCTGGCTAGGGCTGGGCAAGGCCAGGAGAGCTGGGCGCTTCCTGCTCCCAGCAAGGCACTTGGGCCCACCCTTTGCACAGAGCCAGAGCTGAGACGGTGTGAGGAGGAGGCTGCCATACTTCACACTCACGTGGGCCCCCGAAGCCTTCTGAGAGGTCGGCATGCCGGCACGCGGCAGACACGGCACTCTGAAGTGCTGACGAAGCCACTGTGCGCCCAGCCCCCGGGACCCTGCTCTCAACCAGGACCAGGTGTAAACGAGGAATCCTGGGAAGCTGCCAAGATGCCCACAGCAAGGGATGGGGATGAATAAACAGGCTGTGTGACATCCGGACGACGGAACACTGTTCAGCGTTAAAACACAATCAGCCACTGAACCAGGAAAAGACGCAGAGAAACGCTCAGCGCACATTCCTAAGTGAAGGACGCCACTCGGAAGAGGCCACACACTGCGATTCCAACTATCTGACGTTCTGGAAAAGGCAAGACTCTGGAGACAGGAAAGAGATCAGTGGTGGCCGGGGAGAGAGGGGAGGGGAGGGAGGGACAGACAGAGCACAGAGGGTTTTTAGGGCAGAGAAAATACTCCATGTGACACCGCAGTGGGGGGTACGTGTCATTTCTCATTCGTCCAATTTCTCATTTCCCAGAGAGCACGCCACCAAGGGGACCCGGACGTGAACCGTGGATTCTGGGTGACAATCTGTCAGTTCGTCAGCTGTAGCCAACGCGCCGCCCAGGGCCCCGGCACCCAAAGCTGAGCAGCTGCGGGGCAGGAGTCCTGGGGAAGCTCCATCCTCGCAATGCTGCTGTGAGCCTGAAACTGCTCTGAAAAGTTAAGTCTTTAAAATAATAAATAAAACAAATAAACAAAAGGGTACGAACTTTCAGTCACAAGAAAAAATTTTAGCACGTGAGCTACCAGATGCAAAGCACAGTGCCTGGCACCTGACACCTGCACAGTGAACGAGAGCAGGCGCAGAGAAGGAAGCAGATCCCCAGCGTCCACTTGGGTGGATCTCCTGTGGCATTCGAGGTGCTTTCCATTAAGAGGGCCGTGCCAGCCCCGCTCCCAGAGCCCTGTCCCACCACGCCCACCGAGAAGCGGGGGCCGGGTACCAGGAACTGATACACTGTGAATCACAACAGTTCCCAGCTGACCGATGTCTAACGTGGACCCCCGCCCCCCAACAGCCCCTACGGAGGCCGAGACGCAGGTCAGGCCTCTGGCTTCACTGACCCTTGGGAGAGCAGCAGCAAAGCAACAGGGACGCCTCCCCTCGCCAAGGTACCCCAGACCTCCTGCTGCCTGTCCACCGTGCGTGACATGTCACCCTTCTCTCCTGAGTGCGAGCCAGGACCATCGCCTCATTTTACACATAAGTTGAACCAGGTCCTTCCACTTTTGGAAAAGATAAACTTGGCCTGAGAACCAGGCTCCGAGACTCCAAGTCTGGTAACTTCTCCACTGAATCACATTTACACAGAACACTCCTTACTATTTTGAATAGGCGATCTTTGCCAAAATCCAAATAAAAACTAAACAGACGAACCGGGCTGCAAAAGGAGCCTCTAGCACGTGCCTTTAAACAGTGGACGGTCCCTCTGGTTCCCTGAAGCAGCTCAATTCACGAGAACGTGACGTACGTTCAATCCGCTAGGGAACCAGCCCGCACGCCAGGGAGGCAGCCTCTACGCAGCACGCCGCACAAAGCCGGCGCTGCTGCAGCCGCAGCCACGTCGCCCCACACCGTCCTTCCAGCAAGGACTGGGAGCCCATCTTCCCGACAGTGCGTGTGAGACGAACACACTAAATACACCCCAGCCCTTGGAACTTCCTGTCACCAGACTGAACATCATCCACTGGCACCTGCCGCCCGGTGGAGTTACGCCCAGCGGAAAGCCGTTTCTCACCCCTCATCCTGTCTGCTTCCTGCGGGCAGGGACCAAGCAGGGCTTTCTCACATCGCCACGCTCACAGAGCCACCAGTGGGTGCAACGCACAGTCAGCCTCAGAGCCTCTCGCTGCCCGGCGCCCAGGGGTGTGCCATGCTGACAAACGGAATGCTGTGGGAGGCGCAGGATTCGGAAGCAGTGAACAGTGTCCAGTTCACTTTCCTCCCCCGAGGGCCCCTGAGAGCAGGAGCTGAGACGGTCCCAAGCCTGTCCTGCAGGAACTTGAGTGAGGGAACGGTGATCCCGGCTCCTCAGCCATCGGCAGGAATTTTCCAGGGTCCAGACAGACACACCTGAACACATGCCCCGCTTGCACCCAGCACAGAAGACAGCAGATGGCCCACCACCCCACCCACCTAAATCCACGTCCCCAGCTGGGCCGCCTGCTCATCCCATCCAGGCTGCGTCTCCCAGGCTGCCTTGGGGGAAGTGTGACCAACAAAAGATGAGCCAGAAAGGGGGTGACTTGAGACCGCACTACCGATCACAGCCACTGAGCAGATAAGGGCGCCTCTCAGTTCAGCACTGACTGACACCTTTGACCCCTGGGTCCTGGCTGTAGGGCGAGGTCTTTTCTGCTCACAAGAAATCCCTCTCCCCGCCTCTGCCCCCACTCTCACCCTCTCTCACTCTCGCTCACGCTCGCCCTGGGATCCCCGGCCTTCCCCAGTAACCCAGAGCGCAGGGCCCCACCCACGGCAGGGCA